CGGGGAGCGGGGCGAGCTGGGGACCACAGCGCGGTCCGGCGGGCGCGTCAGGCCAGCGCCCCGAAACCTGCCGCCCGAGTGCAGCAGCATTCCAGCAAGCCTATTACATCAAAACCAGTAATCCGGATTTTGAGACAGAAAAGACATCCTCCTCCCCGCTAAGGTGGATACCAGTGGAGCCAGTGAGGAGGAGGAGGAGTTTGGATGTAACCCCATACTCCCAAAACCAAAGTAATGCAGCTGATCTTGTTCTATTTTAAGATCTCCAGACCCATTTTTGTTCAGCACACCGAGATCTCGAGGCTGCGGGAACATCCTGCTTGTGTTCCCTTCATCCCAAAACTGTAACCCCCAAGGAGATGACACCTGTTGCCACTCCCCGCCGACCAGCAAATCCCTGCCCTGCCACATTCCCGAGTCAAGAGTAATGCAAAATACATCTCTGACACCTGGTTCCCGCCAGACCAAGCATATTTTTTGGAGACAACCTTTAATTCCTTCTTCACAAACAGCAGGTCAAATCCAGCTGCTGTTCATCCCTTGGCCCCTAACACACACTGGACCAGCAGCACTCGATGTGCGGTAGTTCAGACTGCCTAGTCCAGCTACAACTCTGAAGCGTTGCTCTCTAATAGACAGCTACAGTGATTGCTTAATTTCCAACACATTATATTTCAGTGAAGTCAGAGTAACACAACTATTACTGTTGTAACAGAAAAAAAACCATCAGTAAAAACTGATGTTTTTTATCTGTTTCGACCTAGCCAAATTTTATGCCACAACACTGAAACATTGCAGCGCGACTAGTCTGGCAGACACGAATGAGTGGCTTTGCTGGTCAGGTCTTGACTAAGATGGAGCTGGCTGGGGGCTAGCGACACATCTTCCAATAATTATTAAGGCATTTTAACACCTTAAAATCTCTGTATTTTTATAATTGTGTCCTTACCTTGTTTTTCAGCTTTTTTTCCTTTCCCTTATATGTTGGTTCTCTGTGTCCACTTGCATCTGGCAGAAGTTACTACAACCAAAGTTTCCCAACTGGTGCTATTCAAATACCACCATGACAAGAGAAGGCATATGCCTGTTCCTTGGCGAAAGGGGACGTTTGGAGAGCGGCAGCAGAACCGGACAGGCGTAGCAGGTCGGGGGATTTTGCAGTAGGGCCAGGATATAACAAGCATAAACGACAATAAAAGCAGCTGGAGTTCTCCACTAGAAATTATAATTTTTGGGCGTGGGACCAAAATTTAGTTTTTCCATGGGCTGAAAACATCATAAGGGGATTATTTCATTGTAATTTGGGTATCGTGGTCCAGCTTGTGCCGTCACCCAGGCCTCGCTGTTTATCATTTTTGTTCATCACCGGCTGAAAGCACAGCCATACTTTCCTGACAAACCCGCACTTCTCCACCACCATCATCCTGAGAGTGGAAAGTTCACCTGCAGGACGGGGCACACACGTGCTGGGGGGGGGGTCACAGATGCTGGTGACTTGGCTGGTGCCTCCCCGCAGCCCCAGGGTCAGACACCCACTCCTCTTCCAACCTCTGCCAGTGGGGCTGCAGCCTAACCAGTGCCCATTTACCACCCCTCGATGCCCACATGCATCTTAACTCTACGTCTGCTCATCCGCTGCACAGTGTAAGTGATTTCCTTCTCAGCTATTCCTTGGTAACATCAGCTCCACCCCCCTTTTACACCTGAACGTGCACGGTTAAAGTGTAAGCTCTTCAGCGTTTATTTACCTCTTGCCCACTTCAAGCTCCTCTTTGAGAATCTTAGCTGTATTTATTATTATTAAAAAATCTGACTCTAGTGGTTGTAGAGAAGCGTTTGCAAGCGTGACTCAAGTTTGCCTTAAGTGCTCAAGATTCAGAAAGGATGCAAATATAAGTCATCTCTTCTAATAAAGTTTTGAAGGAAGCTACCTCATGATTTTTGAAAGCTTCCTCTCTTTTTTGTTTTTTTCCTTTGGGCAAATACACAGTTACATTCAACATGTTTGTCCTCTCAAAATTACAGAAAACCCATCTGCTGTCCACTTCATCTTCCTTTTCCTCACACCTGGTTTACCTAAAAAATCAGTCTACATATTCCACACCAGATTCCCTAAGGGAACATAGAAAATGACACAGCTGATCAAGGCGGACCCAGGGTCCATCCTAGCCCAACATCTTGTCCTGGAATAGCAGCAGATGTGTCAGAAGAAAAGTCAGGAGCTCTGCAGTATGCAGATGTCTGTTTTCTGTTCCTACCATAAGTTTCATCCTGGTCTCTCATATATAGAAATTGGTTTAAGCCCTGAAGCATGAAAAATTATTCTAATTACATTACACAAATTGATATAGTTAATCATTACTCTGGATATTCTTGATATCCATAAAAGTGCCCAGTCCCTCTTCCACTCTTGCTAAGTACTTGGCTTCAGTGGCCTCCCGTGGTAATGAGTACCACCGTTTAATTGGACATCACCTGAAAAAAACCTGTTTATCAGTTTTCAATTTCCTGCTTTTTAAGTTTAACTCTTAAAATAGCCAGTAATCTCCCTTTCATCGTACCTGATCCCCATCCACTATGTGCAATCAGCTACCTACATTCAATCTGGCCCTCTCAGACAAGAAACTAAATATAATAGCCTGTGCATCTGTCACTGCCATATTTTACTTTGAAGAAGCATTTCATTTTGGTTTGGATTACCAAATACCTGGAGGTGAGACAACGCTGACTAAATAGCACCATGAGCGTATCATACCTGCGCTGCCTAACAGCCCGTATCCCACTGAACCTAAAAAAAATCCTCTCCTCACTTACGGCCCACCAGAACAGCTACACTAAGTGGATTCAACAAGCAGTTCCTAAGCAAAAATTAGATTATGTCCATTCAAAACTGAACTCACCCACTCCTCTTAAAGCCATCAGTGAGAATTTTGAGTTACGACATGCTAAACCATGTTAAAGTTGTAGCCCTAATCTGAAATTACTCTCAGAAAGCAATGTTGTTGCAGCAAAACAGCATTTTATGTATTTAATGGGAATATTGACAGAAGCGTATGGGAATGGTGGGAAAGTCATTTCAACGTGACGTTTTGTGTTTCACTTCACAATTAGCCATTCTTACGTTACATCAAATTCCCGGCACAAGTCACTCGCTATGTTCCCAGAGCCCGGCGAACGCTTTCTTTAGACGTCCCGGCTCAGCCGCGGGAGCACTGCGCTCACACCAGCACAGGCTGTAGACCGCCTAGGATAAGGACGAAGCTATTCCATTTTCCTCACCCAAAGAATGATGTGCAGGGGAGGTCAGCACTGGGTTTTGATGCTCGTGAGCGCTATTACTCCTCCCTATAGGACCAGGCACCCAGAAGCCAGAAGCCCACCCATGCCCCTACTGACCACGGGCACGCTTCCCCTGCCTGCACGCTTCACCCACTCCGTCTCCCCCAGTGATGGTTTGCTTCACAAAAAAACACGACAAAACAAAACTTCACCAAAAAAACCCCCAACCAAAACCCAAAACAAAAAACCAAGCCTGATCTTTTTAGCAAGAGAATTTGTTTAGAAGTAAACAGTGGTTAAACACATCCAAAAGCACATTCAAAAACATTTCTTAACTTGTCTGTCAAATAAGATCATGGATTCAGCCAAATTGTGACTGGATAAGCAAAGATTTTGCCAGAAAGAAATCAGCATCATAGCTGGCATCCTTCAGGGGAGCTACGCAACTTCCATCACAGGAGGATCTTACCCGCATCTACTTTCAAAGATGCTGTATAATTAAACATTGCTTTTATGTGGGCAGTTGGCAGGGTGAACACAAAATCGTGTTACAACCGACCAGTGGAAGCAAAACAAAGAGCAGTGGACTAGCAGAAAGGAGAAATAAAACAGTATTTCAAATTTTGGTAATGTAGCATGATGCTGCCGTGCACGGTTGGAGGTCGTTTTGAACAACTGTAATGGACATGGTACAAGCAATTAATTTGTTGGGTGAAGTCAGTGTTGGGATAGCAGCCAGAGCTCCTGCTTATCTGGCGTTCAGAAAATAATGAATTTTTGGAGTGGAGGCCGGTGAAAAACTCTGATCCTTAACTCGGTGCTCTGCTGTTGCTGTTTACAAAGAGAAGGTGTCAGTGTGGCTCTGGTTTCCAGGGAGGACAGGGGACAGCAAATTCTCTTCAAGGATATAGTAGGTTGGAAATCTTGCTAGATCTTACTTTAT